GTTTTATGGGCTTTAATTATATAGGCCTCCAACTTCATAAGTACTTCCCTACTGGCCAACACCAAAAAGGTTTTTAATTATTCAGCTCTGCTTTTTGGTCCTGGCTCTTATGGTAGACATGGTTAAAAGCCAGTGGCAGTTCTCATACCACAGCCTCAACATTTTGCTGGCATAAAATTTCCTGTACTAGATTAAGCAGTCTGCCTGCCACCAATCTCAGTCCCGTACAAAATCTTAGAACATAAACAAATGCAGACAAACTTTCTGCTACAGTGTACCAAAAAAAACACATGGTCTTGAGTCCAACCACCAATAGAGTTCTTGTTTCCAAATGAAACCTGTAAACCTGATTTTACTGTCTGCATTTCTATGGGAATTCTGGTTTTCTGAACTTTGACTAGAATCTCCCATCAAGCTTGGTGTGTAGAATTCTAGGGTTTCTCTAACCTATACATCCAAGCCTTTTCAAACTCCTCCCATGAATCTTTTTCAGAGACTTCTAAACCACGTGGTCAGGTATAGTCACAAGTATAGAGATCCATCTTTTCTGGTACCTAGTCATTTTCTCATTGCTCAGACGCAATAACTGACATCCACAACTTGAAAGACGAAAGTTTATTTTGGCCCACATTTTAGTACATAGTTAGCTGGCCCTAAAGCAGGACATCAGGGTAGAAGGGAAGCAGGGATAGAAGGGAGGAGACAGGAGGGGGACATACCTTATCATGTCACACCCACCCCCGTTAGCTATCTCTTTTGACCAGAAAACACCTCCTAACAGCAAGTCAGCTATATCGTCCCTGTGATTCAATCACTATTATGTCCCTATGTCTGAGTGCGTAAGGCTTTGGTGGGTAGGGGAGCCCTTCTAGAGCCCAACAACAATGATAAGCAAGTGACAAAACAACAAACAAACAAACTGAACTAAACCTCAACATATATCTTCAAACACAGAAATTCAAAGATAAAGGGAAATCCTGAAAGAAGTTGGAGGAGAAAAAAAATTACCTATAGAGAAACAAAGATAAAAATAAAAATTATATCTGAGTTCTACCCAGAAACTATGTAAGGATGAAGAGAGTGGAGTGAAACATTTAATGTGTTGAGAGGACAAAGGAAAGCAATGACATAGAATTCTGTAGCCTGTGAAGGTGTCCTTCAAACTAAAGAAAAATTAGTCTCTCCCGGGAAAAACAAGAGTTGTAGACATGTGTTATAAGTAGAACTGCCTTGAAAAAACTATTTAAAGGAAGGCTTTAGAGCGAAGGAAAATTATGAAGTTCAGACACTCAGATCTAGACACAGAAATGAAAAGCATTGAAAGTGAAAGTAAAAACTTTCAATTTTTTATTCTTGGTTGGTCTATCAGATAACATTTTGCTCAAAGTAACAGCAACGATGTATTTGTTTATGTATGCTTACTCATTACTTTATACATAAGTATGCTTATATATTCCTACGTGTAAGTGAAATGAATGACCACAGTAATGGATAAAAGTGAAAGGGATAAAATGATAAAATGGATAAAAATGAAAGTAAGGGATAAAAATGAAACATTAGAATTATTGTGCTATGTGATGATGGATTTGCAGTATTAGCTGTTATTGTGTATTAGAAGCTCTAGGGCCAGGCATGGTGGCTCACACCTGTAATCCCAGCGTTCAGGAGGCTGAGGCAGGAGGAAAGTTGGGAGTCTGAGACCAGCCTGGCCTACAAAGTGAGCTCAAGGCCAGCCTGAACTGCATAGCTAAACCCTGTTTCAAAAAGAACAACAAGAAAGCTCTAAAGCAATTACTTAAAAAGTAAAAAAAAAAGCAATTAGGTAAATGGTTTGATAAAAAAAGGAAAGAAAATGAAATCATATACAAAATGTTCAATTGAAATCATAAAAAATAAAAGAGTAAAAGATAAAAATAAGAAACAAAAAATAAGATCAATGACTACACAACAGTAATAAATCTAGTATATATTAATACAAGTAAATCAATAATCATTTTGAATAGCAATAGTCTAAGTATAACAACTAAAAGACAGAGATTCTCAGAGTGGATCAAAAAACAAGACTAAAGCAGGTGTTTTGTACAAGAACCCCACTTTAAATATGAAAACAAATTTGGGATAAAAAATGTGAATGAGGAAATACACCACTCTTATCCAAAGCCAAAGAAAGCAGGAGTAAGGAAGTTAATGTCAGACAAAGCCAACTTGAAAGTAACCAATATCATCAGTGACAAAAAGGGGCATTATATACTGATAAAGAAGTCAATTCTACAGAAACCCATAATAATCTTTAATATTATGCAGCTGACAACAGAATATCAAAATATAGAAGGTAAAAACTGAGAGGACTGTAAAGAAATGTGGAAGGATTCACTATGGATATGAGATGTTATATGTTATATGACAGATTGGACACTTCAACATTTCATTGTCATAAATAGACCAATTCAGCAAGGCAGAAAATCAGTAGTGCACTGGTAGAATTTATATATTCCAATGAATTGGATATATTCGATATCTGTAGACTATATGTACTTCATCTACAGACTGCTTTATCCAACAGCAAGATACAGATTTTTCACAAGTTCAACATTTTTTCAACAAATAAAACTGGTACAACTGAACATCCACACTAAAAACAATAAGGGAAAGAAAGAAAATTATCTATTCACAAAACTTTCACCCCTCACTGAAGTTATATAACATACAAAACTATGAATTCCTAGATGATAACATAAAAGAAAACCTACAGTCTGGGAATGTAGCTCAGAGGCATAAGCGCTTACCTGACAAGCCTGATGTCATGAGTTCAATTCCCAGTACAAAAAAAAAAGAAAACCCAGATGACCCTATATCTGATGATGACATTTTAGATAAAACCCCCAAAGACATGATCCACAAAGAAACAGTTGATAAACTTGAATCATTAAATATTGTTACTGTGTGAAAAACAGTGTCAAGGGAATGAGAAGACAAGCCACAGATTGGGCAAAAATATTTGCAAAAGATATATCTGATAAAAGATTATAACATAAAGTACAAAAAAACACTTTTAAAGCTCAGCAATAAGATAACATACTGACAGTGCTTGGCAAGAATAAAAGACCAGGACCTCTTAGTGCTGATTGGAAATCAAATGGCGCAGACACTTTAGAATACAGGAACTATAATAAGCAAACAACAATGACAACACCATAACAGTGTGCACATACACGTTTTTTTGCAAAATTTGAAAGAACCAACATGTCCTTCAGTAAGCAAATGAATAAATGAACCATGCTATATGCAGACAATGGAATATTACTCATTGCTAAAAAGAAATGAGTTGTCAAATCATGAAAAAACATGAGGAACTTTAAATGCATATTTCTATTGAAAGAAGTCAATCTGAACAGGCCAGGTTCTGTATGTTCCAACTATATATTTCAGAAAAGGTAAAAGTATGAAGATATTAAAAAGATCAGTGCTGCCAGGGATTAGTGTGATGAAGGATAAATAGGTAGAGCACAGGGAACTTTTAAAGAAATGAATACAGTCTGTTTATGATTCTGTGAGTGATTTATCATTATGCCTTCATCAAAACCCATAGTATGTACAACACCAAGATTGAACCTGAATGTAAATGATGGACTGTGGGTGATACGATTCAATATAGGTTCAACAACTGTAATAAATATATCAATGTGATAAAGAATATTCATAATATGGAAGATTATGTATGTATCAGGGAAAAAATACATGGAAATATCTGTAGCTTCCTTTGAGCATTTTTATGAACCTAAAACTACTCTAAAATAACAGTTTCATTCTTTAAAAAAATAAAAAGGAAAAATCATTAAGCTAATTTCTGACACCTTTGAATATTCCTATTTCCTGGTTTGATGACAGACCCTATCTCCATGGAAATAGGAGAGCAGACACATTACACAGGTGGCTCCAGTCCAAGTGCTTGCCTGGAATTAAGGCCAGACTCCATCTAATCCATTTACTAGTCAGATGTAAGTCAGTAGCTTCCTCTCAGCCAGGCATAAGGAGAAACTGGCCTGAAAAAAACTGAAATCCAAAAGAAGAACCTCCCTCCCACTGAAAGTGTTTCAGTTCTTAGATCTAGCTATTCCTGAGCAGTTTCATCTCAGTCATTTGCATGGTTTCGTTATATGACCCTATAAATTTCACTTTTTCTTGCAGACTAATTTGAGTTTGCCTGTGACTTGCAAGGTTTTGATCAATTCATGACAGCCCCTAAAGAAGCCATTACTTTTACCTTTTTTGCAGATCACATTGCACCTAGCACAGGGTGGTGCAAGAATAGAAACTCAACCTAACATTATCAAAGTTTTTCTAAATTTCTATTAAATTTCTAGAATATTATATAAGATGTGACAAATATTACTGAAATTATTGCATGTAAAAATTGCTAGCAAGTTCAGAGTCTCACTTGTACTATGGTTAAGTCTCCTGTTTTTAAAAAACAAGAAACATATTTACCATGTTACAAACATATCCCTTCTTATTAACTGACCACATTCTCCTTGACATTTATATCCTTATTGATTGTACCAGTGATCACATAACAAATGTGTGTGTGTGGGTGTGTGTGTGCGCATATGTGGTGCATGCATGAACATGTTTGTTTTACTTTAACCAACTTCCAACTTCCTGGAAAGTTTTTCTACTGCACTTACAAAATCTGGGGTGTAAACCGAACAAAGTCCTCCACAGTCTCGTATAGAGGCGCCTTTCCATGAATTCTGTGTGTGACTTGTTCATAAATATGGAAAGTATCTGAAGGTTTTCTTTTAACTTGTCTTGATTTCCTTGAAGACTCTGGCACACAGCATGAGATTAAAATAATCTGGCATTGCTACTTCTGTGCCCACGAATACCAAGGAATAAATATTAGAATGATGAATTCTCTTTCCCTTGTCAACTACAAATGGGTTTCAGCCCAATGTAAGGTCTAGAAAGTGATTTAAAAATAAACAAATAGAACCAAAGAGTAACTCTATTCTTTTATTCCAAGTTTATTAAAATACAAGAACAAATTGTAAAGGCACACATACCACTCAGCACCAATATAATAACACTCTTTTTACCAATAATCTCCAAAGCATTTCATTTTTCTGCAACTGTAAAGCAGAGATATACACACATACATTCTCACCACATTTACCCAGTACCCAGCAGTAAGTCCCGAATATTCTCCTTGCTAGGGAGACAGAGATGGGGAGAGGCAGACTAATGTGGCTACATCCAACCACTAACTGAGTCGATGACTCTTTCGTTAGCAGTTATCATTCGCACACTGGTAAACTCTGCACATCTCAGTCTCCCTCTTCGGGCGCCGATTACCTGGGCTAGTGAGTCCGTGATAATGTGATGCAAAACTAAACAAAACTGGCCAGCATTCCCTGTCCAATATCTTTTAATTGCTTTGGTTATGAAGTACTGGATACTTATGTCTTCACATTCCCCTGATCGCAGCACACATAAAAACCACACTGACCAGTGAGTGACATAGTCTGAAGAAGTCTTAAAAGAATTTTTTAATTTCCCCTCCCCTTTCTGTGGGCTTCTTTCATTTATGTGTTTACCTGTTTGCTTTTTTTTTTCAAGGTAGACAGAGGGAGGATAGTTTGAGCCAAAATAATGACTTCATTAAACATCTGCTGGGTCTCCAAAGTTTCAGTAAATATTAAATAAACTCCCTGGAGCTCTGGTGCTGCTGCCCAAGACAGGCAGCCAGCCCTGACTTGCATGAGAAGTCTTGTTTGGATATCTGTACGTGTTTGCTCTCTGTTGGGTCAGACTCACCTGAGAACAGAGATGGTTCTGTCAGTCTGAGACCTTGTTTCGCATGCTATCTGGAACACAGGGCATGAGGAAGTGGCCCAATTTTTTTGCTCATCCTCAAGTCACTCAGTGACACTCAGCAGTCTTCTTCCAACCATAAGAAGTTTCTGTTCAAATCTTTCTAAATCAGTAGACCAAGCCCTCCAGGGCTAGTTTTTCCTCTCAGCAACTCCCTAGATCACCCAGCCTCACTCCCTTCCATTCATAAAAGGTCCCAAATAAGACCAAGAGGGCCCCATAGCCAAGCAGCTATTGGTACTTATGTTTTCTTCCGGAAGTGTGAATGAAAGTGGGTTTCATTTCTATTTTTAAGGCAAAAGAGGCAACATTAGGCTGTAATTATATTTTAGTTCTAATTTTTGGTAATATCCTATTTTAAAGGCTCTTGAAATTAAGAATCATCCCTGTCAATCTTCCCTACTCAGAGACATGACATAAGGCATGTTCTGAAAAGCTCTAAATGCTAGTAAAGGTTTTCATTAATCCTTCAATAGACAAAAGTCAGTGTCTACATATTAAGCTTTACAATTGCCAAAGGATGCTAATTAAATTTACTTTCCAAACCATCAGTCAGAAGTCAGGTGGAATACATTTCCAGGTTCATCCTCTTATGATTCATAGAATGGGAAGCTCTTTAAAATTAGTAAATTTCTCTTGCTGTGAACATAGTTTACCAGCCCTGCCACAGGCACTTTGTACCCATATAAGAGTTTTTCCAAAGTCATAAATACTGTCTTTACCAGTCCCTCTGGGATACTGTGCAAAGAAGCCTCCACTCATGACCTCACCATATTCCATAACTTTTATTCAAGAACCCAGATCGTGAAGTATATTCTGACAAAATGAAAGACTGCATAGGCTTTTCTTCCCTCCTTAATCAGATACTAAACATTTCTTGGTTAATGAGGGAAGATTTTAACTAAATCAAAACACCACTCAGAAGTTGATATTACCAAAAATCAGTAAATCATTTTATAAATGAGGTGAAGATACAGGCCCAGAGATCCAGAATGTGAATGAAGAAAATCATGGGGAACGGCTGCCACTTCAGCTATGCAAAACAATGACTAATTTGCCTCTCTGCGGGTCTGTTACATTTTAATAGCTGTGTGAAACGCTTCTACATTACTGTTCATGAATTTCACTCATGCCCATTCAAGAAAGTCATGATAAATCCCACTAATACTTTCTGTAAGCAATAAAATAAAATAATTTTTCAATAGTTCCACGACATCTTTCAAACACTAAATGTTTGAGTAAATCCAGCTACTATGATAATATCTGAAATTTCTCAGAAACTAGTTCAATACTAGACAAGCAATCTCAGCTTAGAAGGCTAAACAGATAGTTTCCTATGAACACAGCCTAGAGCAGGAAATGTTTAGGTGCTAAGAAAATGAACTCAGAGTTTTATATATGCTTTTCCCTTGTGAGAATTAAAACTATAATTCTTCAAGGGAACATATCTTCTAAAAGACATGATAGTTGAGGCGTATTGAAAATGTAATAATTTCTCTGAGCGTATCAGCTAAGCATTGATTTTCTTCTATCTCAAATAATGAGCTCTTGTTAATTTTTTAAAAGTTTATCATAGGAAACCATACATGTTTATGCTTAGACAGACAGGTTACATTATTACAGGCTTATCGTAATCCTGATAAGACCAATCCGATCTACATTTTGTAGAATTCCTGAGCTTTTTCAATCTGTTTTCTCCTTATTCACTTCCACAACTCTTCTTCCAGAACTTCTTCCAGGTTCTACTGAACACGTCTTTCCCGCTGACAGTCAGCCTGTCTTTAATGTCTACTTCCTCCACCTCATGCCTCCACTGGACTACCCTCCAGGGGAACGGCTTGTGTGTGCACACACACACAACCTACAGCTTCTTTTAAATTACAGCACAACTGGGTGATGTTCCCATCACACTTTTCCCCAGACAACTAGCATTGCATTTGCCAAATCTCATCCCCCCACCAGCTGCTCTGACGTCCTGTTCCACTATCACACACGTAGAATATAAGGGAGCTTCAAGGACAACGATGTGGGCAGGCTATAGCTGATTTTTCATTTTGCTTCTCTAGGGTACCACACACGTCTCAACACCATTTTGAAGATAAAAATCAAAGGAGGCCACGGATAAGCCTCGACTATAGTGTTTAACAGCTGAGAAATTAGAAATAATCTATTCTCAGTATGATGTGATAGCAATTTATTAGATAACATCACACTTTTGAAACTGGCTTTGTTGTTTTGTGGGTGTTTTTCCTAAATAGAACTTAGATCATTGGAAGGCTTGAGCATTGCTGTAAAAAAATTAGTCACAAGGGAGCTTTAATGTCTAAACAATATACCAGCTAGTGATATCACTGATTTGTTGCTCCATAAAAAAATACTTTTAATTCTTGCACACTGAGTTCTAACTATTTTCTCATGTGAGCCAACTAATTTGTTCTCACCTTGAGATAATCTTTTTATGATTAGTTTTATGTTTTACTTATTAATGTAATGGCTATAAGAACTTTTGATTTTATCATTTTAGTTTTAAGTATATCCATATACTGTGATCTGATAGTATGCTCAAATTTTTAAAAATTCTGATAGGTATGGGTTGCCCTATTCCTTTGAGGGTTACAATGTTCAGGTATTATTTATTTGTAAAACTATATTGCTTTTATTTTAAAGAGAAACATATATGTGTACATACATACATAATCATAATCACATCATATTGAGGCATTGGATTATTAAACCTCAGCTAATGAGACTAAAGGAAGACCCAGTTCTGAGTGTGAATGTCAATAGAAATTCCATTTTACCAAATTTCCTTATATGAAGAATAGCCTTATATTACAGCCTACAAAATTATTTTAATAACACAAAATAACTCTTTTATTTTGCAAGTGAAGAAAGTGTGTGTGTGTGTGGTGTGGGTGGTGGGTGGTGTGTGGTGTGTGTGTGGTGTGTATGCCTATCATTTATTATAGTCCACCTACACTGGGTGTAGGAAGGAAAACAGGGCAGTAGCTGAATGGCCAGGATCTTGGCTCCCACAACCTCAGCTCAGCATTCATGAGATAACAACTGCCACAAAAACTGAGACTTTGAATGAGTGAACCCATAAAATAACTGTAGGAATTTGGGAAAAACAGACTGGCACCAACAGACCCACTGGTTTTTCCTTTAATAATTATAATGGGATATAATTCACCCACTAAAAATGTATGCACCACATACATGTTTCATAAAGTATTTATTTCTAAAAAATCTCACTAGTTTAAATATGTAAGTGTGGTATTTTTATCCTTTAAATCTCCCTTTCTTCCTCAATCTAGGAGTATATGATACTTTGCTTTATATGTATTTTCTTTGTGCTAATTTCAGTTAAGCGTTTTCTTCTCTACATTGTATATGTTCCTATGTTTCTGTGGTGAGCAAATTAGTCTCTTTCTATAGTTTCAAGGTGAAACTCTATGAAGTTTCCTAATCTTTCTGCTTCCTCTTTTCTAGCATGTCAATTTGCTTTTTCTTCTAGTACTTTCCCAATCTGCCTAGAAAGTAATCCTCAGATTTCAAATGATTATTCTAACCTTCAGGTGGAGGGATCACTCCTGGTATTTACAAATGCACCTGTGAATTCTGGGCTCTGTAGATTGGTGCAGAGAACTGAATGGCTAGAACTACTAGAACACAACAAACCCCAAAGTTCTAGCCACATGGCTTGGGTTCAAGGATGCATTATGAGGACAGAGTCCAGAAGTTTCCAGCTGGGTTCTATCACACTGATTAAAACCTAGGCAATGTGCTTTATCTTATAGACAGCAGCTTCTCTAACAGTTATTATTCAGGTAACTGTTTTCTTCTGGTCCCAAAGCAAGTATCACTCATTTCTCAAGTTAGAATGAGTACATGCTGAATCAGGGTTTCTTCCTCTCTACCTTGGATCTTTTCACTAAAAAGAAGTGCAATGGGGCTACTGTTTAGCCCAGTGCCATTGAAGCGCTGGAGGAAGTACTGAGATGTTAGAGGTTGATCTTCTTCTGAGAAGTAAATTCCTGTCTTGCAGTGAAGCAGTGGGACTCAGTGGAAATAGTGGATTCAATTCTTAATGTTCTTTCCTTTACACACTTTAAAAAAAAAAATAGCTCTATTGCAGTCATACCTTTAACCAACTAATCTAAATTTCATCTTTTGCTGAAGTTCTTCTCCAGCCAACGCCGGACTTCTTGAAGGTTGTAGCAGAAGGGGCCTTTTCCTCCCAGATAAGCAATCTTCTGTCTCTGCACAATGCACACACGTTCAAACGCTACCCCATAAGCTACATTGGCATTGTTGTCCATGCGGTCAGCCACAACTTGGCACTGGGGCGGCAAGGAGAAACGCTCCAGAAGCTGATGAGCTGCTGCACATCGATCTTCCTGGTTCCGGTGCTTCTTCACCTCAAAAGACAAAGAGGACCCCCCAGGTATCGCCCAGCCATCTGAAGGATGAGCCTCGTCAATGTAGACTAACAGGAAGTCAGCCACTGATGAGAACTCTTCCACCAGTTCGCTGAAGGCAGGCAGCTGGCTGGTAAAAGGAGGTCAAGTGGCAGAGCCGAAGTTGACCACCAGTGGGCGCTCGGCACTGGCAAAATCAAGAAGGTGGCACTGGACTCCATCAGCAGTCTTCTCCCGGACACTGTTTCCGCCACTGTGACCTCCTTCAGGACTGGACACACGCACCACACTGGAATTGGGGGCATCTTCGCCCAATTTCACCTGATAATGGAAAAAGATAACAGAGAAAGAGAGAGAATACTACATTAAACACATTGCTGCTTCAATCCACTCTACATAGATAGCATAGGTTGATATGTTATTTCCTTTAGAAGATATGACAAAGATACTGATCTGAGTACAAAGGTGTCTTGTCAAGAATAAAAGTATTTTTATGCTTATGGTTGTTGAAGGTAATTATTTTCATGATTGAAGCACTGGCAGTAACTTCATAATGAAGTCCAGGCAGATACTCTTTACTATTCATAGTTTGCTGTCCATACTTAGCAAGCACTATATAATCAATGATTGACTTCATTTTAAAAGTTAGAAGCAAGGAGTTGGCTTTAAGGCAAATGATCATGACCTTAGGACATACTGTCTCTTTTTCAATTCTAAATACACATGCAAGACCTGGTTCTCCCTGCATGCTATTAAATTCTCTAATCTCAAGCAATGAACAGTGGTAACTGGACTCCTTTGTGACCAAAGCTAGAACTCTGGAGCCCACTAGATTCCAGGGTTAACACCATTCAACCCTTCCAGTGCTGTCTCATCTGTACGATGGGGATAATGAGGCCTGTCCTTTCATACTGGATGGTTACTGGAGAGGAACAGAGTGAAAAGAGCTCTTTAAATCACCATCCTGTGTTAGTGCTATCTGACACCCCCACTGCACCCCGTGAAACAGAATGTACCTTTCCTTGGGAAACCCTGTGCTAGAAATAATAAATGTTCCTAAGAAGCTCTTGGGGCTCCTCTCAGTTTGACACCTTTCCTGGAGGTTTCCACCACTATTGCTTACCTGATGGTTCTGATGATCAGAACTTCACAATTTCCATTAACAAATATAAGCAAACAAAATCGTAATTATTCCAGAATCCTACTTTTTGTTATTTTCTTTTTTTCCACGTGGTTTGGCTTGTTGATTTTCCCTCTTTTATCTAGGATGTCACAAACCACATACTTCTCTACCACACAGTTTATTAGGGAGCTCCGTTAAATGATAAAATATTTGGGTACAAGTATAGACAGCAGTTTTCTATGTGCCCCCTTTGAACACAGTTTAAACAGTTGAACACAGAATAATGAAAGAGATTTCATGGCCTTTGTATCTATAAATTGATAATAAAACGCAGGCAACATAAAAGAACCAATTACTTCAGTTTGAATTAACACAATCAGATCTTCCCCTAGAATGGTTTAATCAAAGCAATAACATTAGGGACAACTTACCACAGTACAATTGATTTTTACACACTACCCTTCATATTACAAAACACTTTCAACTGGATCAACTTATTTTGCTCATATAAATACTTCCACATACAACACTGCTATTAACTGGAGTTGCTTAGAAGTGAATTGTTGAAGGTGCAAAAATTCAAACAGATATAAAACACTCAAGGGCTTTCATTCAGAAGTTTCTATTTAATGTTAATGCATAACAAACTTTAACTATTCCTTCTGAAAAATCCTAGTAGGGTAGGTTTGAAACAAGTACTATTAGTTTTATAAAAAGCAATCTTAAAATAATCTTTCTTTGAAAAGAAAACTGTTGGTGTTGTTTGATTTCAGTCACCACTGGGGAGAAATTTTAATTTTTTTGGCTAATTTATATGATGAAGAAATCTGCTATGCCATTTTTCACTGGATTATTTCATGTGAGCTACACAGGCCTTGGAGGCTCTCAAATATATTTCACACTTAAACATATTGACTTTAAAGGCATAAGTCTTCTAATCTGTGGCTTCTTTTGACACTTCTTTGTAGCTCTTTTGAATAGAATTCCCACCACCTCTTAGATCCTTCCTACTTAAGACAACACTAATGAGTCTACAAGACCTCCTTTTAACCGTACTGCTTATGCTATATTCATCAACATAGTGATAAGACCTGTATGGATTTGGATAAGTCTTCTACAGAGACCTCTTGTTAAGTAAGCAACTTGTACAGGGGAGAAAAATAATCTTTATGCTAGAGACTGGTAGATCTGTGGCACGTGAAGACATCTTTCTGCACTTTGGGGTCATTGTCGGAACTTATGTACAATTGTGTGGTCTTGATAAATAGGCCTGTGATAGCCAGACTCTCACCCCAGCAATCCTGTTGATCTTTGTGTTATTCCTGACAGTTCAACTGAATAATCTAATTTGATGCTTCAGGCACAGGTGATTTTTTTATTACCTGCAGTTAATTTTCCTAGAAAGTCAAACCTCAGTTTCCTTAGAGACCATGAACAATACAGCCAATGAAAACTTTATAAAATACAAACTACCTTGCCTCAGAAAAATTTAAGACCAGTGCAATACAGTTAAAAATTAGGAAAGTTGCCAAATACATAACACCCTTGCAGCACAGGGATAACATTTTGTTTGCCTCCAAAATATATTTTTTTCAAAATTTTGTTGAATGAATTATTGGTGAAGAATTTTACACTTCTTAATAATCTTGACATGAAGTGAACATAAATTATATTCGGGTGATAGATAAGCTTGTTGGTGCAGAAAAATTTGGAAACATGAATCCTGGCCCCTCCTGCAGTTTACTGCCAGTAAGACACCCAGTGTTGTTGATCAGATCTTGATTATCTGGGGTCAATAAATAAAAGACCTATGGCCAATCCTCTTTATTTTGTTTGGGGTTTTTTTGCTTGTTTTTTGGTTTTGTTTTTTTTTTTTTTTTTTCCAGTACAGGGAATCAAACTCATGACCTTGCACTTGCCAGGCAGGCCCTGTGCCACTGAGCTAAATCCCCAGCCTTCTTCTTTATTTTGTTGAATAGCAATGGGACCCTAATATAGCCTAGGATGTCATAAATGGATAGCCTTATTTTTGAAGGCAACTAGGTAGGAGAGAAAGCATAGGTCAAGTTGATGCTCTTAATAAAACTAAGTAAAAATAAAACACCCATGTTCCCTAAGTCCAAATATAAGTAGAGCAGCAGTCTGCTTTTATAAGCATAATATCACTAATCAATTTGTCTATTTGTACTAAACCTAATCTAGCCAAAATAGAGAGAGAAGAACATAAGTTTAAACTAAACAACAACAAAAACTTTTAAAAGAACATTACTGTGTGGTTACCATGAAAATTAAATTTCTGTTAGACCAGAATTTATAAATTCCTGTTAGAACAGGGTTTCAAATGGAGAATTTCTTGGTTTGCTGGGTTAACAATCCTGCTGAGAAGGAATGGGAGAATCACTATTGTCTTCATTGATGGAAGATTCTTTGCTCTCCCCAGGAGAAAAGTATTCCTTGACATAGAGCCAAAATGACGAGGAAAATAAAGTTGGTCCCATAATAACATTTAGGCTGCAGGAAAGAAGCTCAACAAAAACAAGTTATCCCCTGGTACTCTCAAACTTTGTTTTAATTTCCCACAGCGGCACACAAAGTCTCCTGGCCACAAGTTACCTATCATCTTAATTTCTTCTTCTTAGAGGGTTTGTGTTTGGTTTTTTGTCCTTAATGAGACATATTTGCCAAAGAGGCATTCAAAAGGCATTTTTTACTCTTGCGGAAGAGTAATTAGGTCGGTACCTCTTTCCCTGCCAGCATGAGCTGCTCTAAAGAGAACCCTGCCCAGTATTTAATGCCCAAACACAAGAAGCGTCATTTCCACTAATTGGTCTTGAAGTTCCGATGTTCCCAAAGGGTCCCTTTATTTTGCAAGGATCAGAAAGGACATACGTAAAATGTGATAATCGTCATCACTAACTTTTATCTCTCTCATCTGCGCTACGACAATTGTCCTTTCCTATGTTTTCACAAGCAGCATGAACACAGCATCAACAGAGGAGGTAAACAAAGGACCTGCAATTTTATAAGAGGGCATCTCTGAGCCAAGTTCAAATGTTACAGTAGACATGTTTATAAATATGAAAATGGGTATAAAGGCAGTGTATATATAAAGGCTGATTCCTTAATGATGGGATGCATTTTACTGACAGTGCTTGGTGCCTAGGGAAAGGGATAATGCCGTTTTAGCATGTGGACTGTGAAATGCAGGGCAAGGAGGAAAAAAAGAACCATTCATCAAGGGAAGCTGGAAATAGAGCATATACTACTAACCTTTTTTTTCCACACCGTGATCAAGGCTTTTGGATTAAAATATAACATATTCTCTGGATTAAAAAGCAACAGAAATGATAAAAATGCGACTGAAGAGTTACACGTACTCCTTGCTACCCAAAGCCCTGGAAGTGGCTTTATTAACTATCAGGAAGTGTCAGATTCTTTGACATAATGACCGGGCTACATCAATGTCCTTAGAAACATGGCCAAACAATCATTAAGCAGAGATTTAACCATCTGCATTCAGACTGGCCAAATAAATCAGAGCTGAAGAACAAACCACTTACTCCTCTTTCTAAGCTCCATTTGCTTTTTGGCTATTCTCTTTTTGATTTGTACCTTGAAAATGTAGCTCAAAGCCCTATCATTTCCCAGTGTTTTATCCAAGTGACAGACAAGCTCTGGCTATGGCATTCTTTGTTTTCTTTTGGGACAGTTTCTCTCTTAAAAGAGCCATTTTTCCATCGTAGAAACTAGTGTTAAAAGGCTTGAGGTGAATGAAGAGAAGGAGAATGCTAAAGAGACCCTTTCAGAAACCAAAATTATACGTTCAAATGAATATATTTTTGGTGCCAGTGCAGTATTAACCGTGAAGAAACTAAACTGCTTGTCAGCATCTATACTGTGTGTTTAGTTTTACACTTCATTTAGGTAAAAGCCAGGTTCCCAGACAGGGCAGTTTGCTTATTGGTTGTATGTCTGAGTCTCTGAGCACCAGCACAGGGATGTAGTGTCCAGAGGTAATGACACTGACTGAGGGACTTAGGAAACAGCTGGTATGTGCCTCAGAATATCTCATACATTCCATAGACTGTTTGCAATCAAATGCGCACACAGAACCCACATGATCTTTGAAAGCTTCACTATAATTTTAAATCCCTTTCAATATTTTCATGGACCAATATTATTTTATTCTTTCATTTTACTCTTCTACTGCAGTGTCCCTTCTTGTCTAGGCAAAACACAAGGATCATCCTTTTATTCCAGTTTATCTGAATATCTTTCCAAGTGCCTGACATTCAACAGCAAGGAGAAGTGAGAACAACAAATGGCAGGTCTAGTCCTACTGCGCGTGGACACACCCCTCATCCTGGACGACGCTGTTTCTGAGATGGCAACCTCCGAAGCCTGCGAGTCAAGATTATGAAATCCTGCGATGCCATCTCAGGCAGAACCTCCTCCAGTGCCTCTAGAAACGCCCACACCCAAAGACAGTGGCACAGATGACAGCAGCATTCAATGAAGTGATTCAACCTGTCTGAGAGGTTTCATGTGACCCTCAAATGCCACCACAATGACCATTATCCTAACCATACTTCAAGACAGAAAAGAACCAAAATTCAGGGTCCTGAGTGTCTCCATTCATTACATGGTCAACCCAGTCTTGTCTCTGGATATATAGTTTCTGAGGCTGCATATGTTTATGGCAGCTATTATATAAATCATTAAAAAACAAACATAATGATGTCAGTCATGAACTTGGTCACCGACAATGTCAGTAGGCAAAGACAAAGAAATGCAGAAGAATAACAAACCATATGCTGTATGAAAAAACAAATCACTCATCCTTCCCAATTTCCTGGAATGTGAGCAACAACCTATTACAACACAGTGAAACACTACACATTAGTGTAAAAGTAAATAATAAAAGTTATAGACACATATGTTTGCTTTTCCATTTCTATTCAATAAGTTGCTTAATGGGAAAACACCTCACTTAATATGTGGGTAACATTACAGCTTTCATAATTGATGTGAGAAATGACATTTATATTAGACATATATGCCTATAAGTAAAATTCTCCCAAGAAGTGATTTTTTTCATTTATCAGCAAAAGTCAATTGTCTTTCAAAAAAATAAAAGTTGAATATACTGAGATCAAGCCTCTGACATTTCCATGTAATCTGCTAAAATATATAAAACACACATGTAAATGAGGAAACTTCCTAATTAATGATGCTTATATACTTGTGTACTCCTCTTGCCTCTGAATATTTTATCCTTATAACAAAACATAAAATTTCACATTCCATATATACATCTGTGGAAATGGAATGATTATTTCAGGGTCTCCTTGCTCATAATTCTCATTTGCCTTTACATGAATAACATAAATGAAATTTTATTATTAGGACTTTGAGGATCCATTCATTTTCTCATGAAGGAATTCCATTAACTAAGAGTTCTCACAATTCACATGTCTTCAGGATCAGAAATGCAGACCTTTTGCAGGCTGCTTTTCACAAGAAAGACATGTATGATAGCCAGGTTTAGCTAGTTTACCATAGACATTTTCCTCCTGAACATTTGATTTGCAGTAGAACAACTCTGCCATGGATTCTTCTTTTATTTTCCAGGTGCTTAGCTTTACTTGTCTAGTGTTTCCTTATGGAGGGCTCATCCCCTTCCCCTCTATTATCCTGAGTTTCTATCTCTGTTTCTGAGCCTCAGCCTGTTGAACATGGGTCACTTCATTAAACACCTGGCTTCAATATTCCTCTAAAGCCCCCTTCCTTGGGGTCATTGGCAAGGTCACCCAATGTTGTGAGAGAAAACCAAGATTGCCTCCTTTGGTAGCAACATTTTTCCAAGTGAATTCATTCTCACTAACCCCGGGGGCCTTCGGGAATCATGTGGCATAGGGGGTGGGCACAGACTGACAAAGGACTGGTGACAAATTGTTCTTTGCTTCTCATCTGAAGGTCTCAGCTGAAACTGTGGTACTAGCACCTCCGAGCAGTAAAAAGGCTGAACACCAGAATTTTTAACTTAGAAACAAAGATCATCTACTGGTTTTTGGAGAGCAGCTGAGGGGATGACTTCTTCAGGTAAGGCGGGCAGTGCTCCAGGGCTCGAGGCAGGAGACTGCAATGACACATAGACCTATCAGTTCCTTCTAAGACAACTTGTTTTTACTTGGAGACACAAAGTAACTTTGGCTCCCCTTAAAAGTCTGGATTCCTGATAGCTGGTTCACAGATCTCCCCTTTGCAAATTGATATCTAGTGACTAATGACTCACAAACCCTGATCAGCATAGAGCAGGCTGCACCTCAGCCTCGATCTCATTAACTCTTATGTCTACCAGAAACAAAGGAAGTGGTTACAGTGCCCAAGCACACTCGCTGTGCCTGTATCCTTGTCACCTCTCTGTTTTAAGTAACACTCTTTTTTCAGCAAGAAGAAGGAAAATGCTACCTCAGTCATCCTTCCTGGTGCACCTCCCCTAGCCTCCCACCAAGCAAAACATCAAAATTCCAGTGTACAGTGACAGAATAAATATCCCCTCCTCCTTCTTTTTCTGTCTTTGCCCAACGTTATTCTACAGATACAAACCCTCTCCTCTAGTCACAGCAAGATATGGTAATAAACTTTATTTTTAAAAGCCTCCTTATTAGGTCACACAGCATCATTTCGACTCTATATCTGTCACTCCTAAATTCAACCTGTGCAACAGGTGTAGAGGTAAACATAGAGGCTGACTTGGACAGACGCATGAGGCAGGCCCCCAAAGAGGGCTCTACTGCGGTCGCCCCAAAGCCCCCCAGCGCCCCCGGGTCCCAGCCGACGAGCTCTGCTCGTTGACCCGGGTGAAGCCCCCGGGGGCACAGCTCACCTGTTTGTAGGCATCGAGCAGGAAGCTCTTCCAGACGCAGCGCAGTCCCTCTGAGGTCAGCATGCGCCTCCACTCTCCGCGAGTGGACTTGGAGCGGCTCAGCAGCAGAACCACGTGCTTGAGCAGAATGACCGAGTCATAGAGCGCCAGAAAGAGGCAGTTGGAGAAAAAAACTGGCAGAATTTGCAGTGTGATCAGCAAGTCTATGCTGAGGATACCCATCTTCTCTGCCTCCTTAGTCAGTCCCCTTGTGCGCTCTGGTTCCCCTTCACCCTCTTATTTAAAAGAGGGGTGGTGATGGGGGGTGGGGGAGGTAAGGAGGAAGGTTGGGGGTGGGGGGGGGAGAAGGAGAAAAACTAAATTAAAAGGAAGCCCAAGTTGTCTCCTCTTTCAAAGAAGCAGAAATGGCACGACCAAGTTCAGTCTCCAGCCCAGCAGTTGGAGTGTGCCCATCAATTCATTCAATTCGGAGCTGCTGCCTTTTTTTTTTTTTTTTTTTTTTTTTGCAGGATTTAAGATGTTAAAAAAAAAAAAAGAAAGAAAGAAACTGGCGCACCCGTCCCTAATCCAGTTACCCCTGTCAGAGTCCGTTAAAGACACGTTGTTCTACTTTCATTTCCAAGCACCTATGAGACTGTGGAAGAGACTGCAAAATTTTCCTTAGCTTTTCATTGTCTCTATGTTCTTTAAACGTAGCCTGTTCCTTTCTTGAACTGCTAGAGTTTTAAAAATGTGTTTTAGTGGTAGTTTTTTTTCTTTCTTTACTCCGTTTTATACACTCTTTCTGTTCCTTTTCTCCCAGCCTGTCTCACTCTCTCCCTTCTCCTGGAGCGACTGGGTCCTGCGCTCACTCCGTCTGGCTTCTCCTTCCTGCTATCTGTCTGTGTGCAGAGTGCCTCCCTCTACAGCCCAGTGAGTCTCCCTGAAGCCTTTTATACATTCCCTGGCTAATTGCTGCAATAGAGAAATGAAAGCCTAATCTTGCTAAAGATCTTGACGTCATTGAGAAAGAGGGCTTTACTTTGGCCAGGACTGCAGTGAATAGAAAAGCAAAACTCGACAACTTTTTTGTAGAAGGGGTGGGGGAGAGACAGTGGAATTTTGCTTTGTGATTGAGAGAGAGAGAGAGAGAGAGAGAGAGAGAGAGAGAGAGACCTTTGACAGCTTTTAGGAAATGCTTCTAAACTTTAGGGAAAGTAATTTAATAGAATGAGTAGATTAATATGGCTACACTCTCTCTTCTGATTATCATTATTAATTTATCAGGGGCTTGGAGAAAACAACCCTGGCAGGCAGGTAGAAAAGAGGTAGAGCAATCACAAGGGGTCTTTGCTTAATTTCTTCAAATATAACAATGTTTTACATGTGAACTTTATGTCTTTCCAGATTTGTTACCTGGGTCCTTTAAATATTTTTGAGTCATGATCTTATTTAAGAAAATGCAAAATGAGTTGTGAGGTGGAAAACTTTTAAACTATTTGAGAATCACCAGAGCATTTCCCTAAAGCTGTTTGCAGAAACCTAATACAAGTTTTTTTTTTTTTATTTTACTGAAGCTTCTCATACCAAACAACAACAAAAAGTCCTCCAGACATGAAAGGAAGTGGGTGACCAGATATTCTTGTTAGCTCCACTTTGCCTCTAAGCAGATCACATGCAAACTTTTCCTGGAATGGCAGGAAGACGCCATAAGACTGAAAAATAAATTATTTTTCAGACAGCCCTTTAAATTCAGCTATTCCCCTGTTTTTGTTAGCACAACTCCTAAAAGGACCTGAAACTTTAAGGCATCTTCTTTATTGCTTGAAAAAAATTAATTAAATGTATAGGTGGTTAGGAGCAAACTCTGGATTGGTTCGATGACTTCCCTATTAATCTCCAGAACAGCTAGGCAGGTAAGGCTTTGGGAGAATGCCATAACCCCCTCCTCATTTTAGTTTCCCTCTTCCTTTCCTAACAAATCACCTCTAAGGATTGTGTTTTCTTAGAGAAAAAGGAGTGGCAAGTATAGACCCCGAGGTGGAGTATAAAATTTTAATTGAAAATTAATTAGCTGCATTTTTTATGCACACAAAGCTCTCATTAAGTATGCGTTAAGCAGTGGATGTAAATCTGTGGTCCGTCCATTGCTGTATTTTGTCCTTGTGGCTAAAACCTGCAAGACCACAGAAATAATTTAAAGGTTAAAAGAGAGGCCATTAATTGGTGGTTAATGAATTTAGCTTGGGCTAAATTCTGTATACAAATGCAGTTTGCTTGGATGGCAGGGTGGTTTTTTTTTTTCCCTTTCAAAAAAATAACCAAAGGAGAGGACTTCAGGTTCTGTGTGACCAGGGATTATCATCCACTTTGTTTATTGTTGTCTCCCCAGCACGTAGAACCAGGAGTGGCATCTATTCCCCTCACTAAGGAGGTTCTGAACGAACAGACGAAAGAACGAATGAACGCACAAGCACGTGGAGGGCCTATGCTTTACCCCACTCTGGGGGCACTATTCACATACAATACCACGGAAAGGGGAGCGGCCTGGAACTGTAAAACATGGGGGCTTGTGCATGGCCCTTCCCGGTGACACAGCCCTCACAATCTGATGCCTTGATTTTTATCATCAGCTTAGTCCATTCTAAGTATTACATTTACAGCTCACGGAGTAAATTTTTAGAGAAGACTTCAGAAGCTGGAAAAGTTAACATAAATCACATGAGAAAGTTGCCCTAGGATGAGCACATGTTGTAAGCAAATAAATATTATATACAATCATATATATATAATATAAAACATATATAATGTAAATTTACTGCATTTATCCTTTTAAACTTCTCAATGTCAGTAGGAGAGAAAAGATGAGAGAAAGAAGTGACAACCTGGGCAATGGGAAAGCTACGGAGCCGAATAAAGGCTTGGCCAGCAGTGACGGGAGAGGTGTGGACTCAGGAAATGAGGCTTTCACTCACTGCACAAGCCTTGCAATCTCACTCCTCAGACGCTCACTTCCCCTCATTTGAATTAAGGCAGCACTCCTTTGAGGTGGAGACTTCCACAGCTGTAAACCAATTTTCCCTCCCTTGTCATTTGCTCTCAAGGACTGAGATATGTTTGGAAATGGCAAGCGCAGGAGAAGGATTAGTGGAAATTCAGGAAACATTTTCTTTTTAAATGCAAAGTTTCAAGCACATTCATGGTATAAATCATTATATAAGTCAGAATTGTCACACTTTCAGGTGTTGTTTATTTATGCTTTTTTTCTTTTGAAATCAGAAATGTTTGAGGAATATTTTAAAAATAGAATAAATAGGAACATAGCCAACCTGGTCATGTCACTTGTCATTTTTTCTAAATGAATAAATAAATGAATCATAAAGCTGAAAGCCTTTCTTCTACCAGACAGACTGTCCGTCTTAGAAATGACAGTTCCTCAAAGCTACTTTTCTGTATACTTGCTTCACAATTGCTTGTTATAGCTACTAATAACATTTAGCATTTGATCTTCAAGTACTTTTATACTCATTAAATAACAAAATAATCATAAGCATGATTTTTCCCATCATTGAGATGCTAAAAAGTGGATCAGCACCACTGGAAAGTCACTGGTGTGGAATATTTTCCCAGATCTGAGTTTCGCTTTTCTCCCTGACTATTTTGTGGGCCCTGGTAAAAACTCTTGCTGAAAGTGGCTCAAGGGGCTGGGTGTAGTGGCACATGCCTGTAATCCCAGCACTAGGGAGGCTGAGGCAGGAGGATTGTTGCAAGTCTGAGACCAGCTTGGGTACAAAATGAGCTCCTGGCCAGCTTGAACTGCATAGCAAGACCCTGTCTCAAAAAGATTAAAAATAATAAATAAATAAAAAAGGAAAGGAAAGTGGCTCAGGGATAATTTTATCTTCTAAATTGCAAAAGATATCTGAGATTTAATATCTGTTAAATATTGCCCCAATTTAAGCTCTTGGCCTGGTCATCATGTGACCACTTGAAACACTTGGATATCTTCTTGGTCATGTAAGTGTCCTAAGCAATCAACATAGTAATGAGTTAAACACAGACCAACATGTGGCGTGTCAACTGAATTTCTCCATACAATGTAGTACACAGGTTTTAAATTCTAAATCGGCCCAGAGCAAAATGCTTTGGGCTTTTAAATAAGTACAGAATCAGTGTAAAAACATTTAATTGTTTTCTCTTCCCATAGTACAAAGGCATCCTATCCTACCATTACCTCCTTCTGGTTGGAAAAATAACACATAACATGTCTTCCTTTCGTCTATTTGACTCTTAAATTGAGGTTGAGAAAATGGAGTTGGATGACCTGAAAGCTGACTTGACATTTTCCAGCATAACAGCTACCACTATTTCCTTATTATTATCTGAAAGAGCAAAGGAGCACCCAAGAAGTTAACAATTCATGCGTGGACTTTTGAACAATCTTAGTTTCATAGAATTTAACTCCTTTTCATTCAAATGATTCTTGGAAGGCACGACAAAAATGAGGTTTCATTTCTACTGTATTAAAACCTCATAAAATCAATGCAATTGTAAATCCTCCCCCCCCCCTACCGGGAATAATGCAATTTGTTTAAAAGGACTGGTATACTGACTAGAGAAGGTGGTGTCAGGAATATAGCTATTGAAAATACCCTGTACCCCCCAAAATATCACAGCTCTTATCAGAGAAAGGAATCAAACTCCGTGTAAGCTTCTGCCCCTAACGAGTTCTGGTTGTGCCTGCAAAGGAGTTATGATGAAAGCTTTATACCACAACTACTGAATCACTCAATTCCCTGTGGGCCCATCCATTCTGCAAATACAGCTATGTTCCCTGCCTAGTGGTGAAAGGAGAAGCTCAATGGATAAAATACACAATCTCAGAGTAAACTCTGACACACCTTGGGCAAAGCAACCCAGGACTGAGTCAGCGAGGGCGGCGCTGTGGGAGGTGAGAGCACTGCATCCACAGTCCTTCCCTCTTCAGGCGGAGCTGGCAGGGAGCTTCATCTGAGGTGTTAATGCATTCTTCCCCTCAGTAACAGAGGCTGTTCTTTTTTTCAGGCCACCTACTGGTGGGTGGAGGAAGGAAAGGAAAGGAAAAAGCGGGGGAAGGGCAAACACATGAAGAGGAAAAGGGAGACTAAGATGGCAGAGAGGAGCAAAAAGACAAAAAACAAAGTGTAAATGAGTTGCCTGTGGAGGCATCTGGCAAGAAAGCCAATTAATTCCAATTGTGGTGATGCTTTTTGTGAGGGAGACAGCTGTCCAGAACCTGGATGGCAGCCACCACCTCATTTCACAGAGGTCACTGAACAGCTGTTAGGAGGAAAGAGCCTTCCTTTGCTATTGACCTGGTCTGGATCAAAATTGATGGCTACTACCCTACTAGCTACCCAAGCCTCTCCACATGCTAGGAGGCTCTCTGAGAGTTATTTCATTTTGAGAATAGCTCATTAACCTCTAGAGACACCCAAAGTTAGGATTCATGGGGTGCGGGAGTGAATTCATAAGGAAACAGAGGAGAAGATTTTGTAATGATGTACATGGTACAGTTTTTTCAGGACAGAAAGCTCTCAGAATGAACAAATTATGCTCATCCTTTCCTTTCTAAAAATAACTCACTATCTTCATTCCTCCTACTTCCTTGACCCAGTGAAATAAACTGAATGAAACAAAAGAAAATGCTCAAAATAGTCATTGTCTTTGAAGCAACATCTCCTTTGCCTTATTTTATTCCATAGTTCATAGGTAACTACCAGATAATATTCTGTTTTAAAATAAAACAGGTCATTCTTAAAAGCTCATGTTTTACCCCTTCACTCATATGCTGAGGACATGAACACAGAGCATAATAAAACATTAAGATACATGCTGGCTCATGCAACGCCACAGGTAATAATGTAGTTTGTTATCACCAAGAACACAGGATGCCAT